GATGCAAACATATATAGACACCAGATTAAAAAAAAGATTTTCTGTTTAATCATTTGAAAACAATGCACGTCAATGCTAAACACTTTGGCAATCATTTCTAAATAACGAGAACTACATAAATACAATGAAATTGTCATCTCTAATATGTTATCCACACTAAAAAACTTCCAAAGAAATTCCAGATAAAGCTATGAAATACTAAAAAGGATAAAGATATGAACTTCATGTGCTCTGGGTGCAAAGAACAAGCAGAAATGTTTAGAAGTAAGTTCCTAAAAGGTCACAAAAATTTATTCGTAAATCATGAGTTTAGGACTAGGTCTCAAAAATGAAAATGTAGGGGTTTTACCATATAATGTCATTAGAAGTATTATAGATATCAAGTCACTGAGCCAAGGCCAAATAAGTTACAGATCCTGTTAGTGACTGTGCCTTATTTCCTGTCATGTCCCCAGGCTCCCCATTTCCTACAGCTCACAGAGCCAGAAAGCAACAGGAATACATTTTTTTCTGGTTTCTTTCACAGGTGGGAGGTGGGAGCATTGCCAAGGAAATCTCCATACTCCAGCGGTGAGCCTGGCTCCCATCCACAATCTAACTCAGAACATTTACTGCACATGACCCCGCAGAAGTCACTTCCTGACTCCCCCACGATGCAGGTAGTCCAGCACACACATGAATTCATCGTGTTTTCACGAATTTCTGTTTCATTTGCAGAAATGAAGCAGGCTTATTTATGTTGTGCTTAAGCTCACCACTTTTTAAAGTTTCCTTGTTCCAGACATCGTGTATCATTGCTATACGTCTGTCATAAACATTGTAACACTGAAATATATAATCTAGTATCCATATACTTATATGGACTAATTATGAAACTACTACTGTATGTGGTTGTGCAAAGTACAAAAGAAATTAGATAAATAAGGACAAAGAAATCTAACTTCATAATTGTCCTTAAGTTTTGTACCCAGGAAGCGTTTTCAACCATCTAAGGAAAGAGGTATCCTTTTGTAATTCACATAAAGAACTTACGTTTTCAGCAAGGTGTGTATTCATATGTTTGTGCACAATGAAAAGTGTTATATTTTCCTAGTTCACTTAAAGATAGCTTACAAAATGAAAATCTCCTTATTTTAATTATAGAATCTTTCCTGAAAATTCTGGTTTTCATTTTTCACATAGAAATTAAATGAGAAACAAGATGTTAAAACTCATTATACTAAAAATGCAAAAGTAAAAAATAATACCTGGAGCCCTGCAGTGGCTTGAGTGAGTGCAGCAATGCTGGCCAGGCTGCTCAGGCCCAGCCAAGGGGGAGCCTTGCTGGGGGACTTGGGTCAAGTGCCTAGGGCCTTCTTGGGCCTTTTGAGCCCAGCAAGGCTGGCCAGGTGGCCCAGCCCCAAGGGAGGAAGAGCTTGCTGGGGGTTTGGGTGCCAAGCAGCTTGCTCTGAGGACTTGGGGGTGGGTATATGCAGGAACTCCAGGGCTCATACTCAGTTAAGCAAGGACTACAGAGAGAATACCATCAAGAAAGCCACTATACTAGCATGTAAATGAAAGAGCTGAGATCAAATGGGTGGAGGGAGGAACAAGAGGACCTTTAAAGGTCAGACTAAAGCACCAGTACCTGTGGGAGACCTGTGGGGTTTCATTGACCACCCCTGAATGCCACCCACTGAAGAACAGTAAAGCAACAGCTTGGGGCCTACCTGGCAGAGCTAGACCACAGTATCCACGAGTGACAATCTCCCCCTGTGGAACTATGATCTCCACAGGCACACCCAAGATGTGTGGATGGTGGATGGAAACAGACATGGTTGTGGAGTGAAGCGGACATCCAAGCTGGGTTGGGTTCTCAAAGGGGTGCATGAGGCTGGAATGGATACTGTAGTCTGAGCTGCATATGGCTGCAATCTCTCTTGGCGTGAGTGTAGACTGGGCCTAGGGAGCGCCAGATTGGGCTAGACTGCAGCATGCAATAGCACTCATGAGAACCAGGATAAATGTAGAAAGGGCTGGGCTAGGTCTTAGCTCCCACTGAACCAGGTGACTGCTGTGTATGGCCATGGAACTGGTGTAGTTGGGCTGTAATGTTCAAGAGCAGAAATCAGGCTGGGTATGAGCCAGTAGGGCAAGAGCACTGTTTCTGCCAGGACAAACGTTGGACTAAATCAACCTGGAACAAAAACCCACCAATCAGTCAGAGATTTGCCCCTGGTAGGAGACCAGATAGAGGAGCTTGGTGAAATCCTCTATCAGGATGCAGTCTCTGCAGTGAGCGCAACAACCAAGGCAAGGAGCAGCCCAGAGCAGACTAGGTTACAGCATCCACCAGCACACATGTGGGTCAGATCTGGGGCATATGCTAGGCTGAGACAGTTCATAACATCTACTGGCAGTTCCAAGAATCAGGATGGGTTGCAGGATGGGCAAGGTTGGGCAGCAACAGCAGCCAGTTCACGTTAGGGATGCTGAGGTGATGCAAGCTACACCAGTCTGGGTGCAGTGGTACTACGTCTGTTAACTCTAAAGCCGGAAGTGTTGGGGGGAGGGAAGTTCCTGGTCACTTCTGACCATGTCCTTGGCCCCATCTGGGTTGGGGAGAGGAGACCATGCAGTGGAGGGAGGACCATGCAGGGCCCTGGTAAAGGCAGTGCAGGGAGCCAATGGCAGCAAGGGAAGCTCACTGGCCATTAATCAGCATGCTTGTGGGAACTTGGTGAAGGACTTGCAAGGGTCTGTCTATGGCACAGGTGCGAGGATGCAGGGGCCTGTGGTCTCACATCCAGGATTGGTGGTCCAACCGGGGTATTCATGTGTCAGAGTTGGGCCTCCTCAGTGGCTAAGATGGAGCAGTGGACAGCTGACCCAGATGACATGGCAGCCCACTGGGTCCTGCAGAGGACATCTGATATCATAACAGAGGAAGGAGGACAGAATAAATTGGACAACTACCCCAGCCAAGTGATAAAAGCAAATATCTGGGCAAGTGGAGACTCTAAGTTTGACTATGTCAACCAATGGACATTGGAAGGGTTTCTTCACCATTGGATAAGCAAGATTGACAGCATTTAAAAAGTAGCAAAACCACTTGGGTAAAACCCTCTGAGCATGCACCAAATCAGGGACCCTGGGTTGATATCAAATAGCCATTCTCCATCACTAGGTACTGGGGCAATTGGGTGGCTGGGTGTGGCTTCTCCTTTCTGCTCCGTCTTCCACCAGATACAGGGAGAAGAAATAGAAAATTTGGAAACAAGGCTCACAGCCACTTTTTACTAACCCTCAATCTTTTCCACCCTGATCAATTATGTAAACGCTATCTAAAATAAAAACTTAAAAATAATAAAAACAAGTAATATATAAGTGCAGCACTTCAAATCACATGACTTACACTACACAAGGTAAATAATTACACAAGTGAAAGAATGGCAGTTGGGGATTTCAGTATTCTTAACTCAGCCACTGATGACACTGAACTAACTCATGTTAGGATGGATGTGAGTTATTTCTAACAGATTGAAAGGAATAAAGAAAGTAAAAGAGAAATGAACAAATTTTAAATGATTGAACTCATTCAAAATAAGTTCCATGAATACACCAGAATTTATATATATATATATATATTATATTTATATATATATATATATTTTTTTTTTAACTCTCCAAAGATTTGGGAAATTTATATAAATACTTATGTGTAAAAGAAGCAATCCACAAAGATTATTTGATGCTTGCTTAAAAAGACAAGATTTCTAATCAAATTCTGTGTGATACAGCTAAAGAATTGCCAAGCAGAAAATGTAATATAACTGAATTGTATCAATGCAATAGGCATAGATGCACAGAAGCATTTCTAATATATTCCAACTAGCGCTTGGGCAAAAATGGTAACATCATTTTCAACTGAAACTGAATCAATAAATCTAGGCAGTGAGCACTAGTAACAATGAACACAAAAAATAAAAATATGAAATCCAAACTTGCATGCCCTTGATATGGAAACACACATCTTTCTGTGTCTTTATCTTCCTCTCTCCCTCCCTCCCTTACTTCTTCTTTCTCCACCCTTCTCCTACTCTCTCCTTTCCTCCTTCTAAACAAATAATTAAAATAATAAAGATTTTTATCTGTGAAGAATTGATATGTTAAATGGAAATACTTGTAGTTCATTTTAATGTGAACTAGCTCATGCAACAGTGAACATACCAGAGCATTCCTTCCAAGCTCTAGTAAAAACTGTCAGCTTTTCCTGGATGGGCTATCATCTGAACTGAGAATGAGCAATCTTAGAGAATGAGATTGATGTTCCAAGTAAAATAAGAGAAAAAGCAGACAAAGGGGCAAAAAAGAGGTTGCTGGAAGCCATGCAGGAATTCATAACGGGCACTTAAAATGCAAAACAGAAAAGACCTGACAGCACTCAGGTCTTTGAGATAAAAATGCCAATATAGCCTTTCAGTAAATTCCATCCCAGACTTTGTGTGATTTAGGGAATGAATGAACCAATAGATGGAAGGTCTGTTTCTGTCTCTTTTACTGTAAATAAGCCTTTCAAAAAAAGTCAAAGTAAAATAATTATTTTTTAAAAATTAGTTGATAGCAGTATTTATGAATGTTTGAAAGAGCAAACTGAGTGTTAGCTATGTGTCAGGCTTAAAAGACATTGATGAATGCTAGTCAAAATTAAAATGCCGAAGGGGGTATAAAACATGGCATCACAATTCTAAATTTAAGCATAAGGAAGAGCTACTCTAGCCAGCTAAGAATACAAAAATTAATAACAGAAAAGCAAAGTGTTTTAAGCAGTCTAGCTACAAGCTTGTTGATATACTATTTGATAAACATTTACAAAATGTAAGAATAAAACGATTTCTCTTTTTTCCTTTTAACAATGAAGAAAATTTTACTTTTTCTTCCTTTTCCTCCTTAACATTTTATTCCTTAAATGGCATGTTTTTATATATTTATGATTTTCTGAAGAGTCTTTGAAAGTTCTAGTCTTATTATTGGAAGCACCAATATGAAAATAGGAATGATACAGAGAAATTAACATGGACCTGCATAAGGATGGCATGCAAATTCGGGAAGCATTCCATATTTTTAGGCACAAAATCATACTAAAATGTCACTAAAATGACATTTTCTTAAAAGAAGAAGGAGGAGGAGAGAAAAGTTCAAGTTTCCACACAGCTCTTATATCCCTAACTGGGTCACACAATGGATCATAAAAAAATCCTAGAAACAGTGTCCCGGTAGCTGGCATGGGTACCTCCCCAGCTGTTCTTTCTCTTCACAGCACTTCAGGATGTGGTTTTGGGCAGCATACGAGTCTAGGAAATAGCCTTCACTTTCTGTGATATTTGCTTTCCTGATTCTAAGACAAGAGCAGATGTTCCACCAGAAAAAAAAAAAAGAAAAGAAAAAAAGAAGATGTAGGAGTAAATTGCCTTTCATGCCTCCGTGTTCATCGACCTGCTCCACAGTCAGACTTGGTTTGCTCATGACAGAATCACAGAGTCCAAGTTTTAAGGGAGTTAGCTGATAAGTCAGGAGCTCCATGGAATGAGACTTTGGGACAAATCAGAACGGGGGGGTCATTGAGGGCTTGTTTGACATGTACAATTGATTTCTAAAGGCTTCCATCAACCAGGTCACTGCACCTGCAGGTAATCCTGAGGATTGATATTTGAAGCATTGTGGAAGCCACCACATGTGATTCCAGCATCCCGCAGATGTCAGCATCCCAAGGGCTTCTAGCCTTGGCTCCTCCCCTTCCAACCCAGCGCCCTACAAATGGCTGAGGCAAAGCAATGGAAAATGGACCTAGCGTTTGGGTCCCTGTCACTCGGAGAAAAGCTGCAAAAAAGGTCTGGATCCTCTATTCAGTCAGGTCCAGTTCCAGCTGGAAAGTGAACCAGCGGATGGAAGGTCTCTATCTCTTCTCTATGTAACTCTTTCAAACAAATAAAGAAATACACCTTTAAAACTTTGACATTTCAATGATTTCTGTCAATCAGTAAACCACCATTAAAATGCCTTATACATTACAATACAGTAGTGAAACACTTGAGTCGTTTTCCATTACTTTTCCCAGGCTGTTAGCAGGGAGTTGAATTGTAAGTTGAACAGCGAAGACACCAACCAACTCCTGAATTCAAGCATCATATGCTGCACCTTCACATGGCATACCACCACTTTAGCCTCTCCTCCAAAATTCTTATTTAATTAAAAGTGAAAATGATGTAATCATAACATATATAGAATCTATGACGTATGTAGGAGCAAATTGTATAACAACAATAGCAACAAAGATCACTAAATTTTAATTTGTATTTCCTGGAAAGCATTTTAATGTTGGTGAATTTTGAAGAGCAAAATCTGTGTCATAACACAATATTTTCCATAGACTGTAGGCTATGGATTATACTAGGGGTCATATTTAATTTTATGATCACTAAGTTGACCTAATTTCATAAAGTAACTCAAAGGGTAGAACGCATCTCTGAAGGGTCATGTGGTACATACTTTTAGTTTTACAGGCAAAACGGTTCAGGAAACTACTCCGTTATTTCTTTTTGACACCAAAACTAACCTAGATATGTGAGAATAAATTATGGCTACACTAACCTGATAACATTTAGTACAGAAGAAGTCTGTGGACACATTTCCCCTACAGGTGATACTGAGACTAGCCTTGATTTAACTAGTTATTGTTTTAGACAGTATGTATGAAATATATTTACATAAAGCTATTGATTGAATTTGTTCTTCCAAAATGTGTAGTTTGGAAAATTAAGTCCGGGCCCGACGGCGTGGCCTAGCACCTAAAGTCCTCGCCTTGAACGTGCCAGGATCCCATGTGGGCGCCGGTTCTAATCCCAGCAGCCCCACTTCCCATCCAGCTCTCTGCCTGTGGCCCGGGAAAGCAGTCGAGGACAGCCCAAAGCCTTGGGACCCTGCACCCGTGTGGGAGACCCGGAAGAGGCTCCTGGATCCTGGCTTTGGATTGGCATAGCACCAACTGCTGCGCTCACTTGGGGAGTGAATCATTGGATGGAAGATCTTCCTCTCTGTCTCTCCTCCTCTCTGTATATCTGACTTTCCAATAAATAAATAAATAATCACAAAAAAAAGGAAAATTAAGTCTAATGTCACAGCATTATGGCATGGAGATTTGGGGAGGTAATGAGACCGTAATAATAAAATTCTAACTATTGGAGTTTGTGCCTTTACATGAGAATAGAGGGCAAACTAACCCACCTGTAAAATATTGCAAATAGCTAAGGGAAATTGAAATTGAAATTTATTTTGGTGCAAATTTTTAAAAATTACATATTTTCAGTCAACACTTGGAAAATATCATATATGACTCCATTCCTTATAAGTCCAAATTTGTTTTGCTTGGGCACACAATATGATCCATAATTTCCTTCCAGCTTTCTTTTGCATGCATATTTCCTCCCAAATTGTTTCATGTATTTTATAATCCTGCAGTACAACTGTAAACTTAACACAATTCCTAAATACATGAGTAGTCCTCACTCATAAATACGATATTTACTAAAGTGTTTTAAAGTTACATACAAATTACAAAATAAAACATGTCCAATGAGGAGTTAGTCTAAAGATGCTTCAGAGGATGCTGTGAGATCCAAAAACCAACTCAAATAAGCATCAAGAAGACAGAGTGGACAAAGACACAGAAAGTAGATCTCTAAGTAAGAATAGGAGAAACAAGATAGACATCACAGGGAAGGCAACAGAAAACTGGCCATTCAATCATTCCGAGAGGACCTTGTCGCTCAGCCCCTCCTGCAGTAAACCAGAACAATGTTACTGCACACAATAGAGGATGTGCTGTCACGCAGTGTCAAAGCAATGAGACAAGGTTTAAAACAGACAAACAAAAACTCTGAAGTGATAGGAATGATATACTAAAAAAACTATTACTGATTTTCTTTTTGTCTGAATAAAAATAAATAAAGCAACAGTGACTTAATGCTGCTTTGGTGACCACTGCACAGACGAGCACAGCGAGCATATGGTGAGTGACAGATCGGAATGGCCTGGCCACTTCTTCTCCATCACGACATCATGTTTTCAAAGCTATTTGCTGAGTTTCACTTGACCTCCAAATTAGGTCATAAACACGGTGGTACATCAGGTCTAATATCCTACTTAATGTTTTATTTATAGATTTGATTTAATTTTTGAAACATTCTTGAAGTTAGATGTAGAAAAAATAGTGCTATAAAATTATTCATTTTAAATAAACTCTTTTTGTATTAAACATTAATTATAACAAATAACCCACATTATGAAGAGTTGTTTTTCTGAGTTTTTCTTTTATCAAGTATTGCACAAGTTTTTTAAATGTCTACATTTGGAGCCAAGAATCTGAGATTATTTTTAAACAATTGCTACATGACCTTGAAGGATATTTTTTTAACTGTGGAAATTTTGGTCAAAATTTGGTCACTGCTGGAGCATTCATTTGAACATAAGAAGGTCACTCCCAATTATGTAACTCAAATTTCCAATAGCAGGTGCAGGGAATAGAGAATTGTTCTGCACAAACAGAATTTTTGCTAGCACAGAACTGAGGGAAGAAAACCATCATTGGCAGCAACATTGACTGCTGAGACAGCTAAAATGAGGTTCAATGATGAATGGAACCATCTTCGCTGCATGACACCAATGAAGAGTCGCAGCTGGATGGGATCTTAGGTCGTGGAGGTCAGGCCCTGACCCAGTGTAAGAGTATCTATCCCTGCATCCCTGACAGACAGCCCACCCAGCTCCATCCACAGCTCGGCAGTTTAAAAAACAGTCCTGTTCACCTCTACATATTTCTACAAGTTCTAATATTTCTGTCAATATTGTATCAAAATGTATGTCATTAAGCTTATATTTATTAGTTCTAATTTTGTCCAACCAGGAGGCCTGAAAAAAAAAAATTAACTCTTTCAGGAGATCTTCCATGGGCTAACTATTGCTAAGTTTTTGTTTGTTTGTTTGTTTTGTTTTGTTTTTTTAATATTGCTAAGTTTTTAAACAATTAAATTTTAAATATCTCTCAGAGTCATCATAATCATTTAACTTGTTTTGCTAGACAAGTTTGCCCCTCTAGAAATCTATCTTGAGATACACATGGGTATCCAAGACTTTGGCCTATCCTCCATTGCTTTCCCAGGCCACAAGCAGGAAGCTGGATGGGTGGTAGAGCAGCCAAGACGTGAACCTGTTCCCATATGGTATGCTTGCAGTTAAACACTGAGAATTAGCTATTGCACCAGATGTATGACCTATTTTATGAAGAGTAGACAATATCACGTAAGCCTGGAAGGTAGCCTGACTAGTCAAAAAAGGTATGATAAATGTCTGTGAGCTTCATTATTTTTCTTTTTTATTCAAGTAGTTATCATGCCAATGTTATTGACAGTTGTCTAATTGAACAGAATTCCTGCTGTTAATCACAAATTCTGGTTACAGACCTTCATCCCAAGAGAAGCTACTGATTCTAAAGTTGCCACAAGTGTTTCAAGCCAAAGATATTAGAAAGTCCCAAGATGAAATAAGGGATGCTAAAACACCAACTGAACATGAAATAAACTTCTGGTTAACGATTTCTGCTAATCAAACTTAAGTATTTGTAGCAGGAATATGAAAGCACAGCAAAATAGGAGAAAAAGCTAAACAAATGGCATTCTTTGTACCAATTCCCTAATATGTGTGGCTAATAATGCATTGGCCAGGTTGTCATACTAAAAGAAATTAGCTATAATAAGCTACTAAGTCCACCTTCGTTGAGGTTTGGAAATAGTATTACAATTCTGACGTGCCAAGATATTTAAATGAACTCTTAATTCTGCCAGCAGCAACTCTCAGCCTAAAAGCAGTTTGTAATTCGTTGTGGTGCATGTTGCTATAAAAGAAAAGAACATTATGAACTGCAGTTTTCCCTCCAGAGGAACTTGACCTGCATAATGGAAAAAGAGAAAAAGACAACAAAAACATCTGTTTGGGCTAAAGGAAGAAAAGGATTCCCCAATGACAAATTTATAACGAAGGGTAAGTCTGGTCCAAAAATGTGAAATGAAGG